TTTCTTTCTTTCTTTCTTTCTTTCTTTCTTTCTTTCTTTCTTTCTTAAATTTTTATACCGCCCTTCTCCCGAAGGACTCAGGGCGGTGTACAGCCATATTAAAACAACATATACCCACAAAATTTAAAAAAACAGTTTAAAATATATTAAAAATTTGGCTCTTATATTAAAAACTACAAACACCCAATTAAAATTCATTTTCTAGGCCAGTCCGGCCCGTTGGAACAAAAGAGTCTTAAGGGCATGGCGAAAGGTACGTAAGTCGGGGATCATGCGAATCTCCGGGGGCAGTTCATTCCAGAGGGCTGGTGCCCCCACAGAGAAAGCTCTCCCCCTGGGTGTCGCCAGTCGACATTGTTTGGCCGGCGGCACCCTGAGGAGTTGGGTGTCGAGAATCTCCATAGACATTTCAGTAGGGAATCTTTGCGCGCGCGTTCTTAGTTCTGGCTTTGCTTCACTGTAACCACGTGGCTTTTAGTAAAAATTATAATTTCGCTACAAAACGGAGTGGAGAGGGTTTCTCTCCGAAAGGACCAAGTTGGGCCAGATCTGACATCGTTTTCTTTTCATGAATACCCAATTCCTAAAAACCTTCCTTCTTATCCAGTTCCCAAATCAGCTCACCTTGGCAAGCCTTGCTGTCTTCAGTGGGGTTGAATCCCATTTCGCACTCACAGCGGTAGCCCCCGGGGGCGTTGAGGCACTGCCCGTTCTCACAGAGGTTGACGTTGTCGGCACATTCGTCCACATCTGGAGGCGAAAATGGCGCATGGTCAGGCTTTCCTCCGGCCGACCACGCATTCAAGCAGCAGGTTGTAAAACCTTCCTAGTCAGGCAGATTCCTTTGGGACTCTGAGGGCACGTTGTGGGCACCCTCACAAAATGGCTGCCGTGGAGAGACACGGCTATTTCCAAGCTCACAAGGCTTCTGGATGGATCAAAAATGCACCCTGCTTCCCCCTTCAGTACTCCAAGACCCTGGTGGCTCAACACCCACCCCCCAAATTTGTTTAATGTAGTTCAGTGATGGCTAACCGTGCAGCTGCAAAATGCAATGCGCGCGGACCCCCTGTGCATGCTCCCAGCCCTCCCCCGGGAATGCGCACTCCTCGCGTGCACCCTGCACACCCTCCCACATGCGCTCCCCACATGTGCCCCAACCCCACGAATGTGTTGCAGACACACGAAGACCAGTTGCCTGGCGGGAGGTGCACACACATGCATGGCGGGACTGAGCTGGGGCAACGGCTTGCGTGCCCACAGAGAGGGCACTCGTGCCATAGGTTTACCATCACTGTCGAATAACTGAATTGTATTTTGTAACATTTTTAATGCTTAGGAGGATTTAGGGAGTGGGGGAAGAAATAAGCCTTCTGGGGGCGAAACGGTGGATGCAGCAGGCTGGCTCAGAGCCAGGAAAGACTCACAGGGTCTTTCAGAAATAAATGTTTCTCACTCACCAGAACAGGAGTAGCCATCACCGCTGAAGCCTTCCTGGCACGCGCAGCGGAACGAGCCCGGCGTGTTCAGGCAGTTGGCGTTCAGGTTGCAGCTGTGCGCCTCGGTGGCACACTCGTCCAGATCTGGAAAGGAGGAAAATGGAAAAAAGGAGGTGAAGGAGAAAGTCTCACCTTCACAGCCGCACTGCCTGCGGAACCCCAGCCAAAGCTTCCGGCCCCAGGCCCTCCCGCTGGATACAGGAAGTCCTCAGCTTATGACTACCGTAAGGATGAACAAATTCCTCTTAAGTGGTCTCTTCTTTAGGTGAGGCATCACATGACTTCACACATGATTTTAGAACCCTTTTTTCCCATGGTCATTAAGTGAGTCACTGTGGTTGTTAAATGAGACATTATGTGACAATTTGTGACCTTCCCTGCTGGCTTCCTCATAGACTTGTCTTTAAAATAGAATAGAGTAGAGTGAATAGAATAGAATAGAATAGAGTAGAGTAGAGTAGAGTAGAGTAGAGTAGAGTAGAGTAGAGTAGAATAGAATAGAATAGAATAGGAGACAGGTGGAATAACGGAAGAACAGAGTTGCAAGGGACGTTGGAGGTCTTCTAGTCCAACCCCCTGCCCAGACAGGAAACCCTACATTACTTCAGACAAATGGTTATCCAACATCTTAAAAATTTCCAGTGTTGGAGCATTCACAACTTCTGCAGGCAGTTTGTTCTACTTATTAATTGTTCTAATTGACAGGAAATTTCTCCTTAGTTCTAAGTTGCTTCTCTCCTTGATTAGTTTCCATCCATTGTTTCTTGCCTTCTGGTGCTTTGGAGAATAGCTTGACTCCCTCTTCTTTGTGGCAGCCCCTGAGATATTGGAACTCTGCTATCTTGTCTCCCCTGGTCCTTCTCTTTATTAAACTAGACATACCCAGTTCCTGCAACCGTTCTTCATATGTTTTAGCCTCCAGTTCCCTAATCCTCTTTATTGCTCTTCTCTGCACTCTTTCCAGAGTCTCAACCTCTTTTTTATGTAAGTGAAGGACCACCTCCAGGTGCCCAGAGAATCTTCTACTCTGCAATTGGAATCCTACCCGGGGCTTCCAAAATTCTTCCCCTCAAATGTGGCCACAAGACTGGTTGCAAATCCTCGCCCTTCGAGCCAGGCCAGACGGCCGTTTGCCTTTCCCCGGCCCTGGTCACTCACCGTTGCATTTCAGCCCATCGCCGAGCCAGCCCAGCTGGCACTTACACCGGAAACTCCCCGGGATGTTGATGCACGAAGCGTGCATGTCACAGTTGTGAGCCCCAATTTCACACTCGTCGATGTCTGCGGGACAGAAGGAGAAAAAGTGAGCTCGTGGTCTTTATGGGCAGGAAAGCTTTGCGTTTCGTTTTTAAACGTTGCAACGTTGGGCTTCTGGCTGGAAGCCTGCTGGTGAATTGAGAGCCAACTCTGTTTCTCCATTCCCGTCTTTTAATTTCTCACCAGCAAATTCCTTCATTTTTTCCTTAATTCCTGCTCTTAAGACCCTCTTATTCCAGCAAGCCGGCCTGGCCTAATTTTTCTCCCCTTTCTTTTAAATTTTAAATTGAAATTTTAATTTGTTTTAAATTTATTGGGATTTTAATTGTCGTGGGCCAATATTATTTAATTTGGTTTTAAATTGTTTTTAACTTTTGTATTTCTGTATTTTTATCTTGTGCCTGTTCACCACCCTGAGTCCTTCGGGAGTAGGGCGGTATACAAATTTAATAAAACTAAACTAAACTAAACTAATTTCTGTTGTGGTCCGCCAGCAGCCTGCGGAGCTGGCAGCGGAGTCGGACAGTGAGGAGGCTGGGGAGGAACATGGGCCAGTCCTGGAGTCTGGGGAAGGCTCGGCCAAGGGCTCTGCGTCGGAGGCAGAGATGGGGCCAGGGCCATCTGGGAGTGATGCGTGGACTCCGGAGCCCCCAGAGTTGGACAGCAGAGAGGCAGCGAAACAGGAGGAGCCTGTTCCTAGTGCACGCATGCGCAGAGCTGCCAGAAGGCAAGAGCAGCTAAAGCAAAAGGGACAACTCGGGAGTAAGGCCAGGAGATGATTGGGCTTCCCATAAGGCTTAAAAGAGAAACAAAGGCACTTGGGCTTCTTGCAGGAAAGCAATGTTGCTAACTCTGTTTCCAGTCGGCATCTCTTGTTTCTTTCTGAACTCCGTGGGGCTTTGCCAAGTAAGGCCTTTGGCAGGGTGTCAAAGAAGAGAAAGATTGGTGATTATTCCGAAGGACTTCTTCCGAAGGATTTGTTTTGCAATTAATTGGGACTCAGCCGGGAATGAACGTAATTCTCAGCTGTTACAATAAAATAGGTTTGTTTGGGACTAATTGTGTATTGTAATGACTCAGTAAGCCTAAGTCACAACAATTTCGCTGACTTTTCTACCTCTCACTATAGCGGATCACAGAGAAAGAGCTGGCACAATTAATGCCAGGAGCAAAGAATCAGGACCATACATTAAGTGGCAGCTCATAAAGGATTTAATTGCTTTATAAGAATCTAGTCCAGGGAGTTCTCCAAATTTGGTAACTTTAAGACTTCAATTCCCAGAATTCTTTGGCTAGGTCTGCTGGGAGTTGAAGTCTACAAATCTTAAATGTCTATAGAGATTCTCCATCATGCAGGTCCTGGTTGTCCCAAAGGTGCTTTTTCAAGAGGCAACTGAACTTTCTTGTTTTTTCTTTGAAGACATTTTGCTTCTCATCCAAGAAGCTTCTTCAGCTCTGACTGGATGATAAGAGCCACAGTGGCGCAGTGGTTAGAATGCAGTACTGCAGGCTACTTCTGCTGACTGCCGGCTACCTGCAATTTGACAGTTTGAATTTCACCAGGCTCAAGGTTGACTCAGCTTTCCAGCCTTCTGAGATGGGTAAAATGAGGACCCAGATTGTTGGGGGCAACAAGCTGACTCTGTAAACTGCTTAGAGAGGACTGTAAAGCACTGTGAAGCGGTATATAAGTCTAAGTGGTATTGCTATGATGGGGAGTGGTAGGATTTACATTCCTTGCAGACAGCTGGTCATTTGCATCCTTTTAGGGAGTCCTTGAGGCACCTGGAGGTTTGTCTCTGTCCTCAGGGTCACCTGAGTGGTGCAAATGGGGGTGAAGTCTTCTTCTTGCACCACTCAGGTGACCCTGAGGACAGAGACAAATCTCCAGGTGGCCTCAACAACTCCCTAAAAGGATGAAAATGACCAGCTGTCTGCAAGGAATATAAATCCTTCCATTCCCCACCATCCAGTCAGAACTGAAGAAGCTTCTTGGATGAGAAGCGAAACATCTTCAAAGAAAAAACCAAAAAGTCCAGTTGCCTCTTGAACAAGCACCTTTGGGACACAAATCTTAAAGTTGGGAGTCTCAAAGTCAACAAGTTTGGAAACACCTGATCTAGTCAATGAATCTGTTGTGGCTCTGACCCCCGAGGCCGACTTATCGGGAGAAGGCTCCGAACATGAAGGAGAGGAGTTGGCCAGGCCTCCCTCTCCAGGACCCTCCTCTCTGGCAATGCCTCAGGTGTCTCCCGTAGGAGAAGAGATTGGCCAGGAGCCAGATATCTCCTCACAGTCGGACAGTGAAGGAGATAAGTCTTGGCTGGATCCACGCCAGTGTCAGAGAGACAAGCGCACACAACAGAAAAGGAGGCGTGCCAGAGATTAAGCTGAGTCACTGGACCACACCCCACAGGGGATATAAGGGGGTGAGGTGGCCATTCAGACTCTGTGATGGACAAAACTAACTACTATCGAGTCACACTGCATCTTTGGAAACAACATTATCTGCCTTGGATTTAATTACGGACTGGACTTGACAATTCTTGAACTGTGTGTATCTTGTTTATGAGTAAAGTTCTTGGCAAGCAGCTACTGGGTTGCTGCCAATCCTCTTATCGAAAGGATTTGGTTGTCTGCCAGTTTATTTAACCCCCGGCTGTCTGTTTGTGTGCGTGTGAGACGGGGAGAGAACAGAATCTTCAATACTAAATTGATGCCAATTCAAGAGGCTTTGGGCCTGGACCATTTATGGCAACGTAATGATTCTAGGCTGATGACTTACTTGACGCCGCCATCCCGCTGGCTTTGCCTGCTCTTCTCCTACAGCGAGTGGTCTACCTACCTGTGCACCCCGTCGTCCCTTTCTTGACAAAGTAGCCCAGCTGGCAATGGCAGATGAAGGATCCCTTGGTGTTCTCGCATTCCCCGTGCAGGCAGATGTTGGGGTTCAGGTCACACTCGTTCACATCTGGGGGAAGAGAAGGGAGCTGGTTGCAGGCGTCCCCTTCCCACTCCGAGAAGTACAGGTAACATTGTGGGAGGCATCCAAGATGATCTTACCAATGCAAGTTTTCATGTCCAGGGATGCCATGAAGCCATCGAAGCAGAGACAGCGGTATTCCCCGGGGATGTTGGTGCACTGGCCACCATCGCAAATATCTGGGGTGTCCTCACATTCATCGATATCTGGGAAGGAAGGGGGGAAGGGGACGAAATGCAAGTCCCCAGGCATTGGCTTGGTGTCATCGTGTCTTCCTAAATCACCCCCGTATCTTTATTTCATTTGGACCCTGCCCTTTCCCTCATGGGGGTCAAGTCCGCAGGCTGCCCTGAGGTTCGGTCCCCACAACAGCCCCTGCAAGAAGGAAGGAGAGATGGGCCTGGCTCAAGATTAATCGGGGGGGGGGGGTTAGCTCTTGCTGGATGAATTGCAATGGATTGGCTCACTGCATGAACCAGTCTTCCCCTCCTCCTTCCCCTTCTCTTCCTCATTTTCCTTCCATCTCCTTCTCTGCTTCCGCTCTCCGTGATTCCTTCCTTCCTTCCTTCCTTCCTTCCTTCCTTCCTTCCTGTTTCTCCATTCCCTCCCTCCCTTTCCATTTCCTTCCTATCTTCCCCTTCCTTTCTTTCTTCCTGTTTCTCCATTCCCTCCCTCCCTTTCCATTTCCTTCCTATCTTCCCCTTCCTTTCTTTCTTCCTGTTTCTCCATTCCCTCCCTCCCTTTCCATTTCCTTCCTATCTTCCCCTTCCTTTCTTTCTTCCTTGCTTGCTTCCTGTTTCTCCATTCCCTCCCTCTCTCCCTCCCTCCCTCCTTCCTTCCTGTTTCACCATTCTCTCCCTCCCCATTTCCTTCCTTTCTTCTCCTTCCTTCCTTCCTTCTCCTCCCTCCCTCCCTCCCTCCCCTATTGCTTCTTTATTTCCTTCCTCCTCCTTCTCCTCCTCCTCCTCCTCCCTCTCTCCCTTTACATTAAGTACAATAAGTGCAAGCAGGTACCCAAATGGGGTCAGCCAGCCAGTCAGCCAGCCAGCCCCTCTCTACCTCATACTCCATTCCAGCTAGATGCTCTGCTTATCATCCCTAGGCTTCCTTTGGGCTAGTTAGGTTACTGAATGTACAAATCCCACAGGGAGATTCTATGGTTGAGGGAGGATTAGAATCTGGGTCTCTCCCCTGCTACTCCAGGCTCTTCCCCAGAGTCCCCCACCCGGCTGTTGGGCTGAGAAACCCAGTGGTGGGTTTCTACCGGTTCGCCCCGGTTTGGGTGGCGTGGTGGCGGCGGGAGGCTCCGTCTACCCGCCCGGACATTATCACGGATGCTCGCACATGCGCAGAAGTGCCGCACGCGCTCACAGTTCTAAACCAGTAACGTAGGTAAGTGGAAGCCGCTACTGGAGAGACCACCCCTAAGGCCCCATGGGGAACTTCCACAGCTGAGAACGGGCCAGAATCTGGCCTCTTAAGGCAACTCTGAAAGGAAAGTCAGGGGATCCGTCCCAGGACCCCCGCCCAGCCGCTCACCCACGCACGACCGCTTATCCGGCATCAGGGCATAGCCTTCCCCGCAGCTGCACTCGTAGCTGCCCTCGGCGTTGGCACAGTGGGTGTCACAGCCGCCGTTCAGGATGGTGCACTCGTCTATATCTGTGGGGGGGAAAGCAATCGGGTGCCATAATCATTCAAATTATTTATGGAAACGACAAGGGAGGGATTTAAATAAAATAAAACAAAACAATATGATATAATAATAAATAATAAAATAAAATACTAAGATAATAGGATGATAGGATAGGATAATAAAAAATAAAATAAAATAAAATAAAAATATGATATCATGACATGATATAATAATAATAAAATAAAATAATAAGAAATAAAATAAAATAAAATAATAAAATAAAATAAATAAAGTAAAATAAAATAAAATAAAATAAAATATAAAATAAAATAATAAAATAAAATAATAAAATAAAATAAATAAATAAAAAAATTTTTAAAAAAATTGGAACAGCATATATTATCCTTATATCCTGATATTTATAACACCATCATCCAAGCATCCACATTTGTCTATTCAAGGTCCTTGGAAAGGACTCGATAGATAGGCAGACAAAAATGGCAAATCCAGTCTGAAGATCTGGCTGGCTCTTTGACCAATAAATAAAATAACAAAATAAAATAAACAAAGCAATAAAATTTGGGGAGGCCACAAGGCAATCTGGGAGGGGGGGCGTGGACTCATGGATGCAATGACCTCCCCACCACCAATACAATATAGCCACTCCTGGACTTACTTACTTACTTACTTACTTACTTACTTACTTACTTACTTATTTATTTATTTATTTATTTATTTATTTATTTATTTATTTATTTATTAAATTTATATACCGCCCTATTCCTAAGGGACTCAGGGCGGTGAACAGCGAACGATAAAAATACATTTAATACAAACGTTAATAAAAAACCAATTTTATGACCACGATTGAGCCCAGAACTAAATTCATTAAATGGTTGCTGTCATTAAGCAAGGCACTCATGCAGTCCTGTCTCTGCTCACTGCAGTCATTATGTGGAGCATGAGATGACTTGGGGTGTAGGGAAGGCCCTGGGTTGCCGAATGAATGGTCGTAAAGCGAGGACTACCTCTAGAGAGCCACAAGAGAAATCTTGAAGCACCCCTGATCAGATCTGGCCGTGCCGACTCTCAGGAAACACCACCAAGTTTTTCCTCTTCCTCCCCAACACCGGGGTAAAATTCTAGGATCCCGAATTTGCTCTGTCTTGATTGGCTATTCTCTAAGGGTTTTCCCTGGCTGATCCTTTCCTGTCCCTCTTAAAAGATCGGGGTTCTTCCCATCCTCATGAGCCTCGACCCAAGTTTCAAAAGAAATCCAGTTATTTATTAGGAGCAACAAGTGGAGTCAGCTCTGCCTCACGTAATTTACGGCCCAACTATGACCCTGTTTTCCCACTCCTCCCAGGGTGTGTCATAAATCACATTCTCCAACGGAGCACTTTCACGGGCTGTAGAGATCACATCTCTCCGGCTGGTTTCGGTAACCTGGGATACATCCTTGAGAAAAGTGCGCGTGGAATGTGCTTCTGGTTGTGGCTGCCGTGCTGCTCCCCAGTTTTCCCCACTCCTGCCTATGGCAACTCGAGAGCAGGCCAGGAATGTTTTACGAGTTGACAATGCTGTTTGGAGCCCATCAATGTGCCCTCAGCTCTGGATTTTGGAAAGCAAGGGAAGATTTTGCCCCCAGCCCACTCTTCCGGACCGCGTGGCCCAGATCCTACAAAATAAGAAGGACGGGGGAAAGTAGGAGACTCACCAACACAGCCCTGCCGGTCTAGGGTGGCCTGGTATCCAGAATCACACGCACACTGGTAGGTGCCAATGACGTTCACGCAGCGCCCATTCCGGCACAGGCTGTCACTCAGGGAGCACTCGTTGATATCTGCGAAAGCAAGGGTTGAAAAGAGGGCCTCGTTATGTTGAGAGAGCAGTTCGCCTTTGGCCACGACCGCAGGACCAGTGGAGGGTTCTCCCCAGTTCGGACCGGTTCACAAGAACCGGTAGTAAAACTGGTGGGAGGTTCTGCTCACTGACCTGGATGTCATCATAGGTGATCTGCGCATGTGCAGAAGCTTCTGCACATGCACAGAAGCGCAGAAGCACACACTCCCAATGCAAACCAGTAGTAAAGGTAAGTAGAACCCACCCCTCGTCTGCACCCCCCTCCATATTCAAGATCCAGAGGGATGAGGATGTGAGCCATCTCTCTCTCTCTCTCTCTCTTTTACTTCTCCTCTGCTCCAACGTGGCCGCCGGCAAAGGAGGTGCTTAAAAATAACCGGGCATGTTGGGGTCCTTGGCACTCTCTGAGCTGGGTTAATTTCTTGCAGACGTTTCATTACCAAAGTAGGTAACATCATCAGTGTTAGAAGAGAGTGGGGCTTGTGGGGAGGAGAAGGATGACAGTAGAGACCCTCGTGCTCTCTGAGCTGGGTTCTTTTCTTGCAGATGTTTTATGACCTAACTAAGTAACGTCATCAGTGTTAGGAGGGAGGCATTTGTACACACTGGCTTGCCCTGTCAGTGTTGATAGGAGAGTGGGTTTCTCCCCCCTCCCCCCACCCACAATGGCACTTCCTTGATTAGGCTGTTGTTTTCTGCTTGATTGTTTGTCTGGTGTTAATCCCTGCTTATCTCGGTTTCTCTTTCTATGGAGTCCTTGGTGCTCCCCGAGTTTGTTTTCTTACAGATCTTTCATGACCCAACTAGGGAACATCATCAGGGCTAGAAGGGAGGAGGGTTACTCTCTATTTATATACAATGCCTTGCCCTCTCAGTGTGGCTGGACATATCCTTGGCGATTCCCTGATTAGCCTGGGCATTAAACTGGGCAAGCAACCGGATACTCACGCCAACGAATCAACCTAAGAACTGGAACGGGTTCATCTATCCAGATCAGGCTCTGGGGTCCTTCCGGTCCAGCCTTCAGCATCCCAGCCTGCCTGGTGGGTGGCATGAGGGTGGCTCCCAGCCCAAGCGGGGAGGGCCAGATCCCTTCACTGCTGTTGTGTTCTCCCCCACCCCAGCAAAGAGGATTCCAGGGAAGGAAGACTGCAAAGAGTGGCTTGGTCCCAGGAATGAAATGCTACCGGTTCGGGCCGGTTTGCCCCGAACCGGTATACAAAAATGTAAAAAAATAAATAAATCCCGACAATCAGCTGAGTGACGCCCAATCATCAGAACTTTTTTAAAAAAACCTTTTAAAGCATTTTTTAAAGTAAACCGGTTCAGATTTCACCACTGCTTGGTTCCCATTTCCGTCAAATATTCCCCATTCGCCCATTCGTAACAACCTTCTCAAATGGACAACTCACCTACACAGACGTTGCCCTCGGCGGTCAGCTCATGGCCCGGAGGGCAAAGGCACTCAAAGCTGCCCTCGGTGTTGACGCAGACCCCTCCGCGGCACAGGAGAGGGTCTCTCTCGCATTCATCAATATCTGGAAGATTTAAAAGCCAAGCTGAGTTAGGAAGAGCGCCGAAAAGTTATATCTCCTACATGACCCATCCCTTAGCAACTGTTCTGAGTTACAACGGACTTCCCCAGAGCTACTTATGATCTGAAGTTCTGATGGCTGCCCCTCCCCCCACAATGGTCACTTGTTTATATTTTGGGCCCTTGGTGACCCGCTGTTCTGTCCCAGCTACGGACCCCAAAGAATGCAGCACACACAAAGTCCGTACAAACCTTAATTTACTAATTAAAGACTACTAATGAGCTCTCTTAGTAGTTGTTCGAACACAAGTACAATAAATCAGTCTTTTCTGAACAAGGGCTGTTAATTTAACTTCATTAACAGCCGACAAGAATTCAAAGAACAGGCACAGTATTTCAGATAACCATAATCTTACTCTGGTTGGCAGAATGCCCAGAAGCAATTTGCAGGAAAACTGATAAGAGAGAAACAAGAGCCAAATCAAACGTTTTCTGGAATCAAGACGCAAAGGAATTTGAACGAAGTTGTTTCCTGCAAATTGCATCAGTCATTGTCCTTCCTTAAATAGGCTAGGGGAGTGGCCAATTAGCCCGAAGCCTTACTCTTGAGGAGACCTCCTCCTGAGGGGCCACTCCTGCCTTTTCGTAGCTCTGCGCACCCGTGCATCAAGAAGAGGCTCCTCCTCTTCTTCCTCTTCACTTATGGGAGGTTCTGAAGGTCCTGGATGAATCCCCGCCTCTGGCACCACATCTTCTCCAGCCTCCTCATTGTCTGACTCGAGTGCCAGCTGCACAGGCTGCTGGCGCAGCACCACACCAGCCTCCTCGCTGTCGGAACCAGCTACTAACTGCACAGACCCCTGACGGGCCACAACACCCACCTTGCATTTATGGCTGTTGGCAGTGTCCGTGGCTACATCAGCTACCTTTTTTTGCCAGTTTCTGGCGATTACTTCCAAAGCCCCCCATGAAGAAAATGGGTTCATTTAAGGACCATTGTATTTGCATAAACCAGGGATCAGCAACCAGGGATCAGCTCTTTCATCCCTCTGCTGTGGCTCCCTCTCACCAGTCAGCTCCACAATTGATAGGGCTTTCAGTTAGGATAGGTAGAGGAAAAAGGATGCCATGCGAGGAGGTGACACTATATTCGGGGGGGTTAACCAGACTTCCGGTTGGCTCCAGAATTGAACGGGGGCTTCCAGTTAGGGCCTTTGTGGCTCTTTGAGTGTTTAAGATTGCCGACCCCTGGCATAAACGAATGGTTGCATGGTTATTCTTAGTTACCGCAGCCAAGGCTTAAGGTCGTAAAAGTGGCCTCGTGATGACCTGCTTAACAACCAGCATAAGTTAGTCTCATAATTCCAAGGTCAATTACAGTCATAAATCAAGGACTAAACTAGAGGGCCAGTTTGGTGCAGTGGTTAAGATGCTGGCCTAGAAAGCAGGAGACTATGAGTTCTAGTCCCACCTTAGGCATGAAAACTGGCTGGGTAACTTTGGGCCAATCACCAGGAGACGGTGAGTTCTAGTCCTGTCTTAGGCATGAAAACCGCTGGGTGATTTTGGGCCAGTTGCTTTCTCAGCGCAACCCACCTCACCGGATTGTTATTGTGGGGAAAATAGGAGGAGGAAGGAATGAATATTAGATATGTTCACCGCCTTGAGTTATTTATACAAATAATCCATCCATGTGGCCTTTTGAATTTGAAAATGTCTGGATGGCACCTAATCAATGGTGGAATGTATTTTTATGCAACAACTGCAGGAGTATTCCGCCAGTAGATGGCAGGGATTACACGTTTGGCTCTATGGTATATATTCTCTGCTCTTTTGTTCTAAGTAGAGTTTCCTGTTTCCTGTTACAGTTAAAATAGTTGAGCAGTAAAGCACATGGTGACGGTTTGCTCTGGGGTGAACAAAAGGAGTTCAAAGCTGCAGGCAGCCATCGAACGTCAGTGCTGTGTCTTGCCTGGATCGCACACCTAGCATCTGCACAAGAATGACACAGGGGCCAATCCACTTTCCAGCACCTAAGACAGGGGATGCAACGGAGTTTGCACAATATCCTTAATTTTCCATGCTGGCCACATAACGCTTAGCACGGCCAAACGTAGATCAGAGCTCCGTGTGGAGAAGGAAATGAGAAACCGGGAGATTCAAATTGGTCAATTTGAAAAGGTCAAGAAGCAAGAGACGTTAATGTTATGCATGTTGGAAAATAGAGATAGCCAAAGAATGAAAAAAAGAATGAAAAAAAGAATGAAAAAAAGAACGAAAAAAAGAACGAAAAAAAGCCAGTGCAGGTAGTTCTCGATTTACGACCACGGTTGAGCCCAAACTTTCCATTGCTAAGTGAGACAGTCATTAAGTGAGTTTTGCTCCATTCTACGACCAACTTGCTGCAGTTGTTAAGTGAATCACCGCCGCTGTTAAGTTAGCCATGCGGTTGTTAAGTGAATCTTGGCTTTCCCCATGGTCAGAAGGCCGCAATCGGCGATCACGTGACCCTGGGACGCTGCGGCTGTCATAGATACGAGCATTTGAATTTTGATCATATGGCCGTGGGAATACTGCAACGGTCGTAAGTGTGAAAAACAGTTGCAAGTGCCGTTTTTCAGTGCCGTCGTAACTTCAAACGGTCAGGAAACAAATCTATGTTTTTGCCACACCCTCGGGTACACTCCTTACCCATACAGTTCTTCATCATCATAAAGCCGCTCTCGTAGCCTTCGAAGCATTCGCACTCAAAACCGCCGGGCGTGTTGACGCAGGCACCGTGGCCGCACAGGTCTGGCGAGATCCGGCACTCGTCTATATCTGGTTGAGGGAGAGGAGGAGAATCAAGACATGGTCCAACAGGAGCTTCCTTGGGAGAGAGTGAGGGTCCCCAACTGTTTGGGATGTTGGGGTGCACCAGGGGTGGGTTCTAATTTTTTTTACTACCGGTTCTGTGGGCGTGGCTTATTTTGTGGGCGTGGCTTGGAGGTCATGTGACTAGGTGGGCGTGGCTAGCTGGTCAGGGTCATTTCTGGAAGGTCCTCGCACTTACGACCAGTCTGCGCACTTACGACCTGACTCATTTGTTTGCTTTTAACACTGATCAGCTGTAGGGCGGCCCTTTGAAGCCCCTCCTCAAGAGTTTAAACAGTTTTTTTCCCTCTAGCCATCAGCTGGGACTCAGGAGGCAGCAATAGATTGGGGGTGGGACCAAATAAAAGGTAAGAATAACATGGGTGGGGTGGGGGGGAAGGCGGGGGGGAGAACCGGTTCAGTGACGTCGTATCATCACCGCTACCGGCTCGGCCGAACCGGACCGAACCGGGAGGAACCCACCACTGGGGTGCACCTCCAGAGGCTGCTCGATCTGGTGGCCAAAGTGGGTCACGTTGGGAGATCTTAACTTCCAGAAGTCTGGAGCATCTCTTCATGGCCACCATGACAGCCATGGACATGACTCATGTTATGTAGATCCTGACAGACAGGAAGGAAGGGAGGGAGGGAGGGAGGGAGGGAGGGAACAGAGAGGAAAAAGGGATGGTTGAGGGAGGCAAGAGGAGGAGAGACTGCAGGGAAGGAAGGAAGGAAGGAAAGAAACAAAGAAAGAGGAAGAAAGGAGATAGGAAAGAAAGGAGGAAAGAAAGAAGAACGGGGAGGAGGAAGGGAAGAATAAAAAGAGATGAAAGGAAGAAGGGAGAGAGGAATGGAGGGAGGGACCAAGGAAGTAAAGAAGAAAGTGATGAAGGGAGGGAGAGAGGGAGGACGAAAGGAGATAGGAGGGAAGGAAGGAAAGAAGGGAGGGAAGAAGAAAGGAAAGAAGAAAAAAGGGAGGAAGAAGGGAGGAATGAAGAGAAGAAAGAGAAAGAGATGAAGGGAGGGAGGGAGGGAACAGAAAGGAAAAAGGGATGGTTGAGGGAGGCAAGAAGAGGAGAGGAGGAGAGAGCGCAGGGAAGGAAGTAAGAAAGGAAAGAAAGAAAAAGAAAAAAAGAGGAAGGAAGGAGATAGGAAATAAAGGAGGAAAGAAGGAAGAAAGGGAAGGAGGAAGGGAAGAATAAAAAGAGATGAAAGGAAGAATGGGGGAGGAATGGAAGGAGGGAGCAAGGAAGTAAAGAAGAAAGTGATGAAGGGAGGGAGGGAGGACGGAAGGAAGGAAGGAGATAGGAGGGAAGGAAAGAAAGAAGGGAGGGAAGAAGAAAGGAAAGAAGAAAAAAGGGGGGAAGAAGGGAGGAATGAAGAGAAGAAGGAGGGAGGGAGGGAGGAAGGAAGGAAGGAAGGAATTTCACAGGCAAAGCTGGAAGCAGGAATTCAAGCGAGATTCGTGGAGTGGGCTGAGGTTCTTACACCTGGGCTCACCTGTGCAGTTCCTCTCCTCAGCATCCAGAGCGAAGCCACTGCCACAGAGACACCGGAAGCTCCCGATGGTGTTTCGACAAGTGCCGTGGGTGCAAAGACCAGAGAACATCTTGCATTCGTTCACATCTGTGGGAAAGGCAGAAAGACGACGGTTCAATATGGTTATCACTCTTTATGAGGGACTCAAAGATCCTCAGAGAGAGCCCGAACGACCAGAGGACTGCAAGGAATATAAATCCTTCTGTTCTCCACTATTCAGTCAGAACTGAAGAAGCTTCTTGGATGAGAAGCGAAACACCTTCAAAGGTAAAGAAAATCCAGCTGCCTCTTGAGAAAAAAAAGAACCTTTGGGGCAACCATGACTTGGAAAACTGAGAATCTCCAAGAGACACTCAAACGACACCTGTTGGAAGTACAGACACCTGTCCTTTTTGGAAGAGCAGATAAAGGTGCTTGAGGAGGGGTATCCATACTGCAACAGACCACGGAAAGTGAGAAGTTCTGTTCAGGATGAAGCTGTCAGAGCCTCAGCGCTGGCATAGAGAGGAGAGAGATAAGCTCTGAACTTTTGCCTGCTAAATCCCTTTGAAGCCGGGTTGTCGTGGAAATGAGGAGGGGGGAGACATTCCTGGGAAATGACGAGACAAGAAGTCTGGAGAATGACTTGGAAGATAGCCAATGAGAAGCAGAGATTTGGGGATTGGAAAGGGAGGGATTGGGGGGCAAAAGGTCAGTCTTGTCCGCATCGAGTCATGATCCGGTTGGCTGTGCTCAATTAAAGAAAAGATTTCCTTAAAGATTGGCAGTTTGGAAATTCATTTATTTTGAGATAGCATCGAAGTCTGACAGAAGCTGCTTAGGTGTTGCAGAGAAGAAACTCAACGCCAGACAACTGCCACCCCTTTCCCACGCTTTAAGCAGCTCATTACAATTGAACTTCGTTGCATGATGCATTCAATCAAACATTCGCTACAAATTATTCAGGTTCTCAGCCAATAGCCCAGCACTATCAGCATACAAATCTGCTTCTCCAACCCACACATTTCTAACGCCCCCCCCAAGCAGTGGTTTAAGGGGGATCCTTAAATCTAAGAAAATCTCTAAAAAATGTTTTATAGGTGGCACTTGCCGCCAGCCAGATTGGCAAGAATGTTCCCCAGCACGCCATCAACATGTTGGAAATGCAAGCTCCACAAAGGCACCTATTATCATATGTGGTGGACCTGCCCAATGGCAAAACAATATTGGCAAATGATTAGAACACAAATAGAGGAAATAAAACAGCAAAAGATAGAAACAAGACCAGAAACCTTTCTACTTGGAATAGTAAATGGACAATATGAAAAAGAAACAATATACTTAATCATACATATGATAACAGCAGCACGAATATTATATGCACAATATTGGAAGAATAGTGACATACCGACAGAAGATAGAGTAATTAGCAAAACCATGGAATGTGCGGAACTAGATAGACCACAAAGGAACTACAAAACAGGGAGGAACATGACTGCTATCTAGTATGGGAAAAGTAGTATACCTGGTTGGAAGATAGAAAAGGGAAAAAGGATTAGGAAGTAAATGGAATGACCAAATATAGAAAGAGGAAAACAAATCACAAATATAGGTCAACAAAGAATTATAAAGATAGATAGAAGGGAAAGACCAAATAAGGAGGAGTCAAAATACGAATAAGAATATATATTACGGTTGCGATAAACTGGATGCATATTTGAATTTGTGTTTATATGTTTTGTATGTTTTACTGTTTTGTTTAGTCTGTATTTATAAATAAAAAATTAAAAAAAAAACTTTGCCTTACTCCCCACTTAAGGCTGCTGTCAGACTTCGATGCTATCTCAAAATAAATGAATTTCCAAACTGCCAATCTTTAAGGAAACCTTTTCTTTAATTGAGCACAGCCACTGGATCATGACTCGATGCGGACAAGACTGACCTTTTGCCCCCCAATCCCTCCCTTTCCGATCCCCAAATCTCTGCTTCTCATTGGCTATCTTCCAAGTCATTCTTCAGACTTCTTGTCTCGTCATTTCCCAGGAATGTCTCCCCCCTCCTCATTTCCACGACAACCCGACTTCAAAGGGATTTAGCAGGCAAAAGTTCAGAGCTTATCTCTCTCTCTCCTCTGCTCTCTATGCCAGCGTCGAAGCGCTGACATCTTTGCCTTACTCCCCACTTAAGGCTGCCCCCTGTGCTAAGCCTTCCACAGATTCTCAGCCCTCCTTGACTTTCGTCCTTTTTCCCCACGGATGCATTTTCGCAATCGTCCTTCTGTACCCCCTCCTCCTCACACCTTTGTAAAAAGGCCTGCCGGATAAGACGTCTCCCCTGTTGGCAAAGCCGGATCCCCGTGGACAGATGGCTTTGAATTCAGCCGAGCCGGGCTTGGGGCATTCCTCGCAGTCCTTGCCCCAGGCCGCGCCGACGGAGCAGCAGCAAAGATCGATGCGGTATTTCCCAGGCAACGCCACGGTGCACTCATCCTCGGCCCACTTCATGTAACACTGCTCCAGCCGCACGTCTGGATGGGGGAGAAACGAGAATGAATGGAGAAGTCGGAAAGCTGGGATGAGGACCCCCTTAGTGAAAAAGCAGAGAGCAGGGATTTTTCCTTCCCTCCTTCCTTCCTTCCTTCCTTCCTTCCTTCCTTCCTTCCTTCCTTCCTTCCTCCTCTTCCTCCCCTTCCCCTTTCCCCCTTCCTTTTCTCCTTTCTTTCTTTCTTTCTTTCTTTTCTTTCTTTCTCCTCTTCTCTCCCCTTGCCTGCTCACCCATCCCTTTTTCCCTTCCTTCCCTTCTCTCTTTCTTTCCTTCCTTCCTTCTTTCCTTCTTTCTCCTCTCCCATTGCCTGCTCACCCATCCCTTTTTCCTTTCCTTCCTTCCTTCTTTTCTTTCTAACGCCCTCCCCTCTTTCCCTCCCCCTCCCTTCCCTTCCCTTCCTTTCCACCATTCCCATTCCCCCTCTCTCCTCTTGTTTCCACACCCATCCCCTTTTTCCTTCCTTCCTTCCTTCCTTCCTTCCTTCCATCCTTCCTTCCTTCCTTCCTTCCTTCCTTCCTTCCTTCCTTCCTTCCTTCCTATCTCCCTTCCTCTTTCCTTCCCTTCCCTTTCCTTCCTTTCCCTCTTTCTGATTCCCATCTCATTCCCCCTTCCCTTCCCTTCCTTTCTACCCTTCCCATTCCCATTCTCTCCTCTCCTCTCAACATTTACATTGATTATTTTGCTCCCTCTGGAAAGCTGGATAGGACAGCTGTACAGTAGTCCTCAACTTACAACTATTCATTTAATGAGCATTTGAAATAACAATGATGCTGAAAAAAAATGACTTACAACAGATCCTTGGATCTTTGACTGTTGCAGCATCCCTAATGGTCGCTCTGGCACAGAACTGAGCGACGGCTAAGCCCACACTTTTAGTCTGACTTCCCTCACAGGGTCAAGTCTCTCTGCTAACTGCCTGCCCCAAGGCAAGCTGAGATATCAAAGGTATGATGTGTTCCAGGGTTTGGCAATATTTGCAGCTTCCTCTCCGTCTTATGACTGGAGTCCCCACTGATCAAACTTTCAGCATTCCCCAAGAGAAGAATTCCCCCAGATGAGACATCTCGCCCGGTCCTCACCCACGCAGGTCCGGCCAGAACCATCCAAGGTCAAGCCTTCTGGACATTCACATCGGAAGGACCCTGCTGTGTTCACACAATGGCCGTTGGGGCAAACGCCCGGGAAGACGTCGCACTCGTTCACATCTGGTGGGGCAGAGAGAAAGACCAGTTGGAAGGCAGAAGGTCCTGCTAGGGCCCGTGGCTGGGGCAGCCCTAGAAGACCTCCCTATCATTCTTCTCAAAGAGCACCATTTCCCAGACTGCTGGGAAATCTCCCGTCTGAGCAGAGCTGAATTGCAGTTACGTCAACGCTTGAGAGGTCCAACTGAAGAAGAATCAGGTTGTGATGTTCTTTGACCATTCACCGGTGGTGAAGGAGCTTTCTGCCCGCATTCCACAGCAGGTTGTCTCTGAACATCTCCACAGCCTTCCTCCCGAATCTCTCAGAGACAACCAATTCCTCTTTCTCAGAGGTTGGGGTACTCCATAGCCAGCCCCTCAAGAAACAAGGCAGGGCTCACCAACCAGAGATGGAAGCTACCTTCACAAGAGAGACCCTTCCTCCTGGCGTAACCTCGCGGACAGGCGGCATCTGGAGCCAAAGAGAGAAAAGGGGTGAACTTTTTGGTATGTTGGCTTGTTGGGAGACCCAAAGGAAGGGACCCCCATATATCCGAGTCCCACTTTACCGATCTCACAGCGTTCACAGGGGCTGCCCCAGGCAGCCCCCAGTGTAGCACAGCATTCGGACTTTAAGGTAGCTCCATTGATGTTGACTTCACAGCGTCCTTCTTGGATGTTGAGCCAACAGGTGCCCTTCATGCTGTCTGAGGGCACAGGAAAAAGCAGAGAGACAGGTTGGAGGAGGCAGGAGTGGTGCGGTGGCCTAGAGGTGGAGCTCTCGCCTCACAATCAGGAAGCTGTGAGTTCGATCCTGGGTAGAGGCTCTCTCTGGGCACACTGAGAACAATATCTGTTGAACAAAACTCCTCATTGGTGACACGAAGGGCATCCGGCCATTAAAACACTCTGCTAGTTCCATTCAGTTTCCCAGACCCCACCCCGCAAGGGATTATGAGGTTGTTAAATGATGATGATGATGACAGATTGGAGGAGGCAAAGAAGCATCATCGTACATGCTCAAGAGTTAGAAAAGGACATCTCAGTCCTCACTTGCTGGTGAGAAACAGTCCAGCCAACCCATTGTCTTCCACAACTAGATGAGCTACTTCTATTTTACTGGAAGGCTACTGTCAGGGAATTGCGCAGCAGGTGTCCCAAATGAAGCCAGAGACATGGACTCGAGCATCATTTTATAGAAAATAAATATATTTAACATCTATTTTTACAGTAAATAAGATAGTCAGGCACATCACTACATCATCATGAAGTAAATCGTGAGGTAAATCAATGCATGAGCAGACTGGATAGTCAGGAACACAGAAACATAATGAGGTAAATCAAAAAGCATACAGAGCACACAGACGAAAAAGCGGGAAAAAAAGGGAAACTCCCCCTTTACACCCACAGCAACCAATCACAGCTCAGATTGCCTCATGCATGAGGAGACAAGATAGTCAGGAACACAGAAACATCATGAGGTAAATCAAAAAGCATACAGAGCACGCAAAAGAAAAAGGCGGGAAAAAAAGGAAACTCCCCCTTTACACCCACAGCAACCAATCACAGCGTAGATTGCCTCAGGCAGAAGCCTGCACTCTCCAGCCAATCAACTACAATTGTGTGTGTGCTGGTGCATTGTACACTACTGTTCCAGCTATTAAATTAAATATCTTAACAGTTACAAGAACAGAATCCTACAAGTCTGAAAGTACAAACTTCCCACTGCCATTTTTAACTGCCTGATCCGTTAGGGTGGATCCTTCCTAATTTTCTTCACCTGACTGTTGAGTCACTGAGGGCTCCTGCCTCTCTTCTCCAATGGTGGCCTACCCAGCTTCTCTTCCCCTTTCCTCCAGGTCATCTACCGTTCCCTGGCACCCCCCTTCGCACCCCCCAGAGTCCAGGACCCCACATCCAGGCTCTAAGATCCAAGCCTATGACCGTCACTGGTCAGGGCAGCTCCTTACCAACACAGATGGTGCCACTGAGATCCAATTTGCTTCCGGGCGAGCACTCACACGCAAAGGATCCGGCGTTGTTCCGGCAGAGTCCGTTAACACAGGGATTGGACGTGCATTCATTGATATCTAGGAGATAGAAAGAAAATGGTGCTACCTACAGGCAGGGAAGGGGACGGGGGTGATTGTGCTTCATGGTGCAAGGTCCGGCATATATTTGGGTGCATTGGAAAAAGTTAAGATGGTGACCACAGCTGTCTAAATAAAAGCCCCACTTGGCAACCCATGTGAAAGAAGTCTGATGCCACGGCAGCCAACATCTAACTTTGTCATCCATCACCTGACCCTTGATTTTGGGGGAAATTAACAAAATATCAGAGTTGGAAGTGACCTTGGAGGTCATCTAGTCCAACTCCATTTTCATCAGGACACCCATTTCAGACAAATGTCTGAAATCCAGTCTCTTCTTAAAAACTTCCAATGTTAGAGCACCCATAACTTCCAGAGTTCCACTGGTTAATTATTCTAACTGTCAGGAAATTTCTCCTTACTTCTAAGTTGTTCTCTCCTTGATTGGTTTCCACCCATTACTTCTTGTCCTGCCCTCGGGTGCTTTGGAGAATAGCTTGACACCTTCTTCTTGGGGCAACCCCTGAGATATTGGAAGGCTGCTATCTTGTCTCCCCTGGTCCTTCTCTTCATTAAACTAGACATACCCTGTTCCTGAAACCGTTCTTCATATGTTTTAGCCTCCAGTCCCCTAATCATCTTTGTTGCTCTTTTCTGCACTCTTTCTAGAGTCTCAACATCTTTTTACATCGTGGCGACCAAAACTGAATGCAGGATTCCAAGTGCGGCCTCACCAAGGCATTATAAAGTGGTATTAACACTTCACGTGATCTTGATTCTATCCCTCTGTTGATGCAGCCCAGAACTGTGTTGGCTTTTTTGGCAGCTGCTGCACACGGCTGGCTCATATTTAAATGGTTGTCCACTAGGACTGCAAGATCCCTCTCACAGTTACTACTATTGAGCAAGGTACCACATATATTGTACCTGTGCATTTGGTTTTTCTTCCCTAAATGTAGAAACTTACTTTTTTTCATCATTGAATTTCATTTTATTACACAGGGCTGTTGTGGCTCCATTGCCTGAGCCTGGGCTATCGACAGATGCAGACTCTGAGAGTGAGGGAGAGGAGTTGGCAAGGCCTCCCTCTCCAGGACCCTCCTCTCTGGCAATGCCTCCAGAGGACACCGAAGGCCAAGAGATAGGCCCAGAGCCAAGCACGTCCCCGCAGCCATAGGTGGACAGCGACGAAGGAGATAAGTGCTGGCTGGATCCTCGACAGCAGCGCAGGGAGAAGCGTGCGCAGCAGAGGGGAAGGCGTGCCAGAGATTAGCTGAGTCACTGGACCACACCCCACAGGGTATAAATGTGGGTGTGGTGTCCGGTTCAGTTTGTGACGAGCAAAAACTAGAAATAATCCATGATCTCTGCGTTACTGGACTTCTGCCTGCCTTGTCGGACTGCATTTGGACTAATCCTTGTATTGCTGAAACTTTGCCTGCTTTATCGGAATGCTTGCAGTCTAATCTTTGTTTTGTGTGATAAAGTCTGAATTGGCAGCTAGCCACTGGGTTGCTGCCAGCTTTATCCTCAAAGACTTTGTCGTGTGGCTTATTAACTCCGGGCCGTTTGTGGGGGTGCGTGTGTGGGACGGGGACAGAACAAGGGCCCAGTGTTCAACAAGAAATTAGAAGCTGGATAGTTTATGAGGATCTGTCCCAATGTCCTGCTTCATGGCCATAAGCTGTTTGGGATCTACCACATTCAACCACGCACCCTCACTGCCATGGTTTCAAGGCTTCTGCCTTGATGTTTGGGGTCTGCGGTGTACCCACTTCCATGGCAAGAGAAAATGAAGGATTCAGCAGACAGACAGACAGTTACCTTCACATGTGTCTGTCTCGGTCCGGAAGACAAATCCCTTGGGGCAGCTGCAGCTGTAGCTCCCAGGCGTGTTGCGACACAAACCGTTGTCACACAACAGGCGATTGATGGCACATTCATCAACATCTGGAGAGAGAAGTAAAGGCACAGAACCTGACCAACGGGACTGGCAGGCAGATGAGAGAGCAACCTCTTTCCTCCCTCCTCTTTTGAGCCAAAAGGACTAGCCGCTTAAAAAAAAATCAAGGGAGCCTAATAGGATAGGGTAGGGGTCAGAAACCCACGGCTCTGGAGCCGCATGTGGCTCTTTCATCCCTCTGCTGCGGCTCCCTGTCGCCCGTTGGCTCCACAATTGATAGGGCTTTCGGTTAGGACAGGTAGAGGAAAAAGGACGCCATGCTAGGAAGAGACTCTATGGTGGAGGGAACCGGACTTCCGGTCAGCTCCAGAATTGAATGGGGGGCTTCTGGTTAGGACCTTTGCGGCTCGTTGAGTGTTTAAGGTTGCCGATCCCTGGGATAACCGGGTATACACAGACAATGGGGTTTAATTCTGACTTTTCTCTCTTCTGGCCTTCTTATCCTTCCCATTGGGAATTAGATGGAGAATCACAGTTTCCCAGGACAGAGATGTCCATTCTATCAACTATCGGAAGTTAATCACCTTGCAAAAGTTGAATAATTCCTGTGAAGCCCTTGACGCTCTCTGAACTGGGTTGTTCATTTGCAGACATTTCATTACCCGACTAGGTTACACCATCCATGCTAGGGAGTGTGGGGTTTACTCTCTGTTTATAAACAACAGCTTGCATTGGCAGTGTTGATGAAGTGTTGTATTTCCTTGATCATTTCTTGATTAGGATAGTGTTTTCTGTCTGTTTGCTTCATTATTTCTCTCCATGGTAGTTCTTTGATTAGGATCAAGTTTTCTACTTGATTGTTTGTCTGGTATTAATCCCTGCTTATCTGGGCGTTCTGGCTTATCTGAGTGATTCTCAGTTGTTAACAAAACGGACATCTCTGGCCTGAGAAACTATGGTTCTCAACATCATTCCCCAACAAGTACAGAGCTAATTTTCGTCCCTCTTTGGTGAGAAATGGCAATTAATCAAGCATGGATGATCCTTCCACAGCTAGAAAACATCAATCACCACTTTCTTCCTCCGGTCCTTGGCTCACCCATCACAGAATAACAGAACATAATAACAGAGATAGAAGGACCCTTGGAGGTCGTCTAGTCCAACCCCCTGCTCAAGTAGGAAACTCTATACCATTTCAGACAAATGGTTGTCCAGTCTCTTCTTAAAAATCTCCAGTGATGGAGCACCCCACAACTTCTGGTGGCAAGCAGTTCCACTGATTAATTGTTCTCACTGTCGGGAAATTTCTCCTTAGTTCTAGGTTGCTTCTCTCCATGGTTAGTTTCCATCCGTTGCTTCTTGTCCTGCCCTCAGGTGCTTTGGAGAAGAGCTTGACTCCCTTCTTCTTTGTGGCAATCCCTGAGATATCGGAACACTGTTATCCTGTCACCTCTACATCGGGGTGGGTTCTACTTACCTTTACTACCGATTTGCAATGGGGCCGCATGCACGCTCTTCTGCACAAGCGCAGAAGCTTCTGTGCATGCGCAGAAGCATTTTGATGATGTTGGGGTTGGTGGGCGGAGCCTAATGCTGGTTTTACTACCGGTTCTATAGAACTGGTGCGAACTGGGGGGCAACCCACCACTGCTCTACATTTCATTAATCTGGACATGCCCAATTCCAGCAACCGTTCTTCGTACGTTTTAGCCTCCGGCCTCCTGATCATCCTCGTTGCTCTTCTCTGCACTCTTTCCAGAGTCTACTGTTTTCAACCCACTGCTCAGCACTACAGTTTCACAACCTTTGCTACGCTGGATGGCCAGCCTTGGCGTGTTGGCCTCAAGATAGCATGTTTTGGGCTTGTCCCCTCTTACTCACCCACGCAATTCTTCCCAGTGGGGTCCGATTCGTAGCCCAGATTGCAAATGCAGCGGTAGCTCCCTCGAAGGTTTTCGCACATCCCGTTGGGGCAAATGTCAGGGTTCAAGGCGCACTCGTTGATATCTACGTAGGAGAATTGCCATTTTGGTCATCTGGTAGTCCTTGTCCCCAACATTTCCTCCCACCCCCTTTGTTCAATGTTTCTCAACCGTGGCCACCTTAAGATGTCTGGACTTCAACTCCCAGAATTCCCCATCCAGGATGGAAACACTAAGGCCAAAACCCAAGGGACTAATAACTAAATACAGGTAGTCCTTGACTTACAATGTTTCTATTTAATGACCATTCAAAGTTACAACACTGAAAAAAGCGACTTATGACCCTTGTTTTCTCAGTTATGACCGGGAGTGAGCATTTGGGGCACCTACCTTTTTTGGTGAGGAAAAGAAGAAAAAGAAATCTCCCTCTGCCTTCCAGGAATTTTGCCTCCTTGCAGCAAACAGCCTGCTTTACTTTCATTTTCGTTTTCAGCAGAGCTTGATTAGCAGAAGAAAAAAAAATCTGCTCCAGCAATTTACCTCCTTGCGTCAAGCAGCAGAGGCCCACGCAAAACAGCTGAGAGCAAAACAGCTGAGAGTCGGGAGGCCGATCCAATCAACTTGTGCTAATTAGGCTGTGCTGAAGCTGAAAGGAGCTCTTTTTTCTTGCTGTTTGCTTGCAAGGAGGTAACTGCTGCGAGGCAGAGGCCAAAGGGTGGGGGCCAGTGGTTGGGAGGGGCTACATTTGGTGTATAAGATGCACCTAAATTTTCACCCCCTTTTAGGGGGGGGAAAGGTGCGTCTTATACTCTGAGAAATATGGTACATTAAAGCATCTCTGAAACTCAGCTGTTCAGCTTCCATTTGAACACATCTAATGAAAGCAAGCTTATTATTTGTCTGGGTTAGAGGTTTCCCCTTAAACTGTGCTTACTAATAGAACGGGTGTTTTTTCCTTCTAATATTCGCCCAGAATCTGTCTGAAAACCCATAATAAGTATCAAGAACTAACTTGCCTCGTCCGTCAGCTGTGATCCCTATTCCGCTACTGCACAACGCTTGGAATTCAGCTGGAGGGGGGAAAAATAATAATAATAATCAAACAATTGTCATTTGGGAAAGTAGCATCAAAAGATAGCCAGCACATCGAAACATGTGAATATCATAGATGAAACATCTTCATGGCTTTACAGATGTAACCCGTAACACATTCCCAGCAGAGGCATCTTTTAAAACGAGAAGCTTTCTCAAATAGTTTCCTAAAGAAAGAACAAGAAGTAGGTACAAATCAGGGGTGAAATCCAGCAGGTTCTGACAGGTTCTGGAGAACCGGTAGCGGAAATTTTGAATAGTTCAGAGAACCGGCAAATACCACCTCTGGCTGGCCCCAGAATGGTGTGGGAATGGAGATTTTGCAGTATGCTTCCCTTGCCACGCCCACCAAGCCACGCCCACCAAGCCACGCCAACAGAATCAGGAGTAAAAAAAATTGGATTTCACCACTGGTACAAATTACAAGGTCCGTAGCAATAAAGTTGATCCTGTATATTTTTTTCCCACAGTGTTGTGGCCTGTCAGCGGCCTGTGCAGTTAGTAGCTGATTCCAACAGCGAGGAGGCTGGTGTGGTGCTGCGCCAGCAGCCTGTGCAGCTGGCGCTCGAGTCGGACAATGAGGAGGCTGGAGAAGATGTGGTGCCAGAGGTGGGGATTCAGCCAGGGCCTTCAGAACCTCTAGAAGGTCCCATAAGTGAAGAGGAAGAAGAGGAGGAGCCTCTTCTCGATGCACGGGCGTGCAGAGCTGCCAAAAGGCAGGAGTGGCTCCTCAGGAGGAGGTCTCCTCGATAGTAAGGCTTGGGGCTAATTGGCCACTCCCTTAGCCTATTTAAGGAAGAATGCCAACTAAAGCTATTTGCAGGGAACAACTTCGTTCACTCTCCTTCGTGTCTTGATCTTAGTTCTCTGCAAATTGCTTCTGGGCTTTTTGCCAACCATAGTAAAATTACGATTATTTATTCTTTGGATTCTTGTAGGTTGTTAAGAAAGTTAATTAACAGCCTCTGTTTGAAAAAGACTGATTTAATTTAGTAAACTAATGTTTGTACAGACTTTGTGTGTGCTGCGTTCTTTGGGGTCTGTAGCTGGGGCAGAACACACAATGGGAAAAGTTATATAGTGGCACTGCAGAAGACCACTGGATATTCAGGACTTATTTTGATATTAAGACAATTTCAGAAGTTTACGGTTCCAATAGAATATTTGTAATTCGGGGCTGAACTGTGGGGGTCTTTGGTGCTCTCTGAACTTGGTTGTTTTCTTGCAGACTTTTTGTTACCCAACTGGGAAACATCATCAGTACTAGAAGTGGGGTTGTGGAGAGGAGGAGGAGGAGGAGGAGGAGGAGGCGTACGGCAATAGGGCCCTTGGTGCTCTCTTGAGCTTGTTTATTTTCTTATATTTCATTACCAAACTAGGTAACATAATCAGTGCTAATGGTAGAATGGAGTGGGATTGCTGTCTATTTATACTCCAGTCAAGGAACTACCAACTCAGACAAACAAGTAAAGAACAGCCTAATCATGAAGGGTGATTGCACAAGGCAAATCACTAGTATATAAGCAGAGAGCGAACCCCACCCACCCTCACACTGAGGATGTTACCTAGTTGGGTCATGAAATGTCTGCAGGAAAACAAGCCAGCTCAGAGAGCACCAAGGACCACATTCTCCTCCTCCTCCTCCCCCTTTCTCCTTCGTCAATTCCACAAACCCCGCTGCCTTCTAGCACTGAAGATGTTACCTAGTTGGGTCATGAAATGTCTGCAAGAAAAAAACCCAAGCTGAGAGATCATCAAGGACCCCACAGTTCTCCTCCTCCTCCCCGATTTCTCCTTCTTCCTAGATTTATTTATTTATTTATTTTATTTTATTTAATTTATATACCGCCCTTCTCCCGAAGGACTCACGGCGGTGAACAGCCATAATAAAAACAACGTACAAAATAGAACTTAGAAGCAGATTAAAATAATTAAATCATAGGCCGAATTTAAAACTCTCATTTTAAAATCAATTTTAAAACCCCATTAAAACCAAATTAAAACCATTTATCCCATCAGAGCGGCTTGCTGGAATAACAGGGTCTTCACTGCACGACGGAAGGCGCAGAGGTCGGGGATCCTTCGTATGTCCGGGGTTAATTCATTCCAGAGGGCAGGGGTCCCCACAGAGAAGGCTCTCCTCCTGGGAGTCGCCAGTCGACATTGTTTGGCTGACGGCACCCGGAGGAGCCCCTCTCTATGGGAGCGTACCGGCCGGTGGGAGGCAATCGGTGGCAGAATGCGGTCTCATAGATAGCCAGGTCCTAAGCCATGGAGCGCTTTAAAGATGGTAACCAACACCTTGAAGCGCACCCGGAAGACCACCGGGAGCCAGTGCAGCTCGCGCAAGAGGGGTGTTACATGTGAGCGACGGGTCGCCCCCATTATTATTCGCGCGGCCGCATTCTGGACCAATTGGAGCCTCCGGGTGCTCCTCAAGGGGAGCCCCATGTAGAGAGCGTTACAATAGTCCAGATGGGAAGTGACAAGGGCGTGAGCGACTGTGCGTAAGGCGTCCCGATCCAGAAAGGGCTGCAACTGGGAAATCAGGTGAACCTGATAAAATAGGTATTTTATAGATATTTCCTAAAGGTATTTCCATCTGCAAGAAAACTCCCAAGCTCAACAAGGAGCCTCCGTTTTGACCCTGAGCTACAAATATTCTTCTTTATTCAGCTTGCGTTTCCGTTTAAATCTGCCTGCTAAAATTACTAATGAAGCTCCAAATCTCCTGACTTAACGGGTGTGCTCATTATCCCGAATCCTCAAAGAACCAAAATCTCTGGCACGCGGCCACCGCCTGACTCCTGGCAATGCAATTTAGAAACTTGGAAAATACGCAGACTGATGTTTGCCAGTCTCTTTAAGGTCAGAGGAAGGCTATCTAAGGTCCCTTCTGCAGTGGCGAGATCTCTGGGTTTGCCCTCACTTGAGACTTTCAAGAAGAGTTACAAGTCAAAAAGAAGAAATAGAAAGAATAACGGGATTTGAAATAGTAAAGAAAGTTAAATATTTAGGGGTTTATATTATGACATCAAATGCGAAATGATATAAGTATAATTATGAATTGTTGTGGCAAAAAATACAGAAGGAGATGGAAAACTGGAAAAAATTGCAACTATCGTTGTTGGGAAGGATAGCTGCAGTGAAAATGAATATTTTGCCAAAGTTCTTATTCCTTTTCCAAATGATATCAATATTGAAAAAAGATGGAAATTTGAATGAATGGCAGAAGGGCATTAGTAATTTTGTGTGGGCAGGAAAGAGACCGAGAGTAAAACAAAAAGTAATGCAAGATATGCGTGAAAGAGGAGGTCTCAAAATGCCTAATTTAAGATTGTATTATGAGGCAGCTGCTCTCTCAGTAATTAGCGATTGGATTAACTCAACAGAAGAGAGAATATTGAATATTGAGGGATATGATTTGCTATATGGGTGGCATGCATATTTACTATATAATAAAAAGTTGGACAAGAATTTTAAAAGTCATATATTGAGGAATGCATTACTACGTGTATGGAAAAAGTATCAATATAAATTAAATAATAAATTACCTATATGGGCAATACCCAGACATATGATAGAGAATATAAGTGTAGAACAGAAACAAGATGTGATTACTTACAAAGAGCTTCTTACTATGGAAAGAGGTACATTGCAGTTAAAGTCTTTAGGGGTATTAAAGGAAGAAAGGATAATTCAAACTTGGTTTTAATATGGACAGTTGTATACTAGATGGAAAGAGGATCAGAAAATTGGTATCTTGCAAAATGAGGAAAATCTGATAAAACGAATTAGGGATCAAAGCCCAATTAAAAGGTTGTATAATGCATTGATAGAAATAGGTTCAGAAACTGAGCTAGTGAAGGACTGTATGATAAAATGGGCACAAAACATCGAGGAACCAATAATGATGGAAACAAGAAGAGATTGGATTGCCAGTTATCAGAAATGGTGTAGGGCAGGGGTGTCAAACCACAACGTGGCCGTCGTGGCCTACCCAGTGTGAAGAGGAAAGATCGGGCCAGCGTAGCTTTGGCCTGGTCTACCCAATGCGAATGCCAGGGTTCCACGTAACAACCCCAACGAAAAGAAAACTCCGAGGCTTGAAGTTCCTCAAAGTTCCATTTTATTAGAGATGTCATATTGGCACATCTGGGAAAACTCGAATCTGAAAGCTTCCGGGTTTTCCCCACCCAAAGCCCAACACCCATATGTCCATCACACGGTCCAATCCAGGGGTGAAATCCACTTAACTTCCTTACCGGTTCGGAAGTGCATGCATCACACGTTAAAATCAGGAAGTAATGACACCCGGGCGGCGATCGCTACCGGATCGCCGAACCACAGGGAAAAAATCGCTACCGGATCGCGTGATCCGGTCCGATCCGGGAGCATGTCACCCCTGGTCCAATCCAAGCACCATCCCAACTGGAGATGCCTTCCAGTTCCAGCCGTCCAGGTGCAGGGCAAAATGTCCTTGACTCTCTGAGAAAGGAATGTTATTATGACTACATATCACCCTGGCTCCATATAAATCCCAATTTCCCACAGTAGTAAATGTGGCAGGCCTGAAGATCCAAGGAAAAAGATGGCTTCCAGGCCTGACAGCGAAGAGGAAACATGCCACCAGTTTGGGGAGTGGCGACAAGATGGCCACGCCCACCCAGTTGGCCACACCCACCCAGTCCCGTCCCCCCCAAGATTAATCACAGCCCTGATGCGGCCCTCAATGAAATTGAGTTTGACACCCCTTGTGTAGGGCCTCCTACTTGGGGGGGGTGGGGTTGGACTAGATGACCTACAAGGTCCCTTCCAACTCTGTTAATCTGTCCTTTTCCCCACGGCTCCAGATGGACAAGCTCTCCCTGAGGCTTTTTCCCCTACGCAGCTTTTCCTGGAAGGATTTCAAACATGCAAGAAGATCACACGGTCAGTCCAAGGAAGGCTTCAGAGAAGAAAAAATAACCTTGCCAGGGACATCCAAAGAAAGCTGATTTAAAAAAAAAAACAAAACTCAATGGAATCAGTCATTCTCCTTTCCCCCAGCCAAGTTCAACCCAGTTTCTTACATTCGGGGCTCCTCTCCCCGAACCCCAAATTGCACACTAGGAGAACAGGATACATTTACATGTAGGAATTTTCCAACTGACATCTCTTCCTCTCTCCAAAAAAATTAAGGCAATAAATTTATATCTGTTGTAGCCTGTTGGCTGCAGGCCCCTCCAGCAGCCAATTCAGAGGAGGGGGCACAGGAGTCAGGGACAGCATCAAGGCAACCTGAGAGCTCCGAGGGGGAAGAGGGAATGGAGCTGGGAGAGAGAGAGAGAGAGAGAGAGAGAGACAGAGAGAGAGAGAGAGAGAGAGGGAGAGAGAGAGAGAGAGAGAGAGAAAGAGAGGCGGAGCCTGGGCCGTCCGTCAGCCCTCAGATGGAGAGTCAACAGCCCCCAGGTCTGGAGGTAGCTGATGAGGAAGAGGAGGAACAGCTGGGTCCAGTGCCTGACGCACGGATGCACAGGAGGAGGAGGAGAGGAGAGCAGTGGAAATCTATAGGCCGGTCCTCGGGACGGAAGAGCCACCGTTGCTAGCGAAGCCCCACCTTAGCTCTGGGGAGAGAAGGCAGGGGGCGGAGATGAGTAGATGTGGCAGACAACTATTCATCTCCTTGCTGGACAGACTTGTTAGCTGTGGTGAGAGAGAAACTTTTTGCCGGGTTTGCTGGCGCTCCTAATAAAGGAATATTTTGAGTTCACTGCAGAGGGTTTGTGTTTGTCGTCTTTGAGGAGCTGTCCTCTTCTCCACCCAGAGTTGGGTTCCATCAATTCTGATGTTAGCAGAAAAACAGGAGCTGCTGAGAGGCTGGTGAACCATGGATGTCTACCAAGGAGACAGTAATTATTCCAGGCGGTCCTCACTTCTGCACCTGAGGCTGATCTATAGGGACCCTTTGTCTTGCTTTAGCCAGGAGCCCAGTATATAGACGTAAACCTTGGGGAATTGTCTGTACGTCATTTGAAGGACTTCAGGAATATTATCTAAAAATGGGCAGGCTTTCCAATCGATTTTGATGTTTGGATCTCCTGAAGCATTGTTTCTCAATGGCAGCTTGGAGATGGCTGGACTTCAACTCCCAGAATTCCCTAGCCGGCATGAGTGGACTTCAACTCCCAGAATTCCCCAGCTGGCATTTGTGGACTTCTACTTCCAGAATTCCCCAGCCAGCATGACTGAATTTCAACTCCCAGAATTCCCCAGCTGGCATTTCTGGACTTCAACTCCCCAGAATTCCCCAGCTGGCATTTCTGGACTTCAACTCCCAGAATTCCCCGCTGGCATTTCTGGACTTCAACTCCCAGAATTCCCCAGCTGGCATTTGTGGACTTCTACTCCCAGAATTCCCCAGCTGGCATTTGTGGACTTCAACTCCCAGAATTCTCCAGCCCGCATGACTGGCTGGGGAATTCTGGGAATTGAAGTCCACCCATCTTCAAGCAGCCAAGGTTAAGAAACACTGCATGCAAAGAAAGGATTGAATAGCATAGATAAATAGTATCCTGAACGATGTGGTAAGAATGGATTAAAAAACAACAACACCCTGCTTTTGAGTGATTGGCGATATATCTTTGAAAGTGTTTTTTAAAACGCATTGATTGCATAATTATATACATAATTATAAACATTCAAGAAAATGTCTATGGATCAAGGTTGTTTTGTCACCAGAATTGGGCGACTTGTCCTGGCTGACTCGCCACAGTGAACTTGTCAGAGGTGGGTTTCAGCTGGTTCTGACCGGTACTTGAGAACCGGTAGCGGAAATTTTGAGTAGTTCGGAGAACTGGTAAATACCACCTCTGCCTGGCCTCGCCCCCAATCTATTTGCTGCCTCCTGAGTCCCAGCTGATTGGCTAGAAGGAAAAAATCAGGACTGGCTTTTCAGCCGGGAGATTTTTGAAGTTTTGGGGTTTGTGCAACATGGGCTTTATGTTTCTAAAAGGGTTTGGGCGATTCCATTGTGAAATATCTTGTCTTGAATGAGTTTTCTGCCTGCTTGTAAATGGAGCGGAACTTCCAGCTTCCACTTTCTATTATCTCTAAGCACCGGTAGCTGTTTTCTTCTTACAAAGTTTCCTTTATGCAGCTGGCAGGAATGTGGAATGAGCCTCAGGCAGGTTCCTTTGTTAGCAGCTTGATTTTTCCTTGCTTTTATGGGAGTCTTTTCTTATGAGTAATATTTTATTTGGGGAAATGAAGAGGGGGGGAGTTTGATTCCTTCCCAGAGCAGGTTAGTGGAGTGGGGAGGGAATGGGGATTTTGAAGTAACCTTTCCCAAGAGTGGGGAGGGAATGGGGATTTTGCAGTATCCTTCCCCTGTCACGCCCACCAAGCCACGCCAACCAAGCCACACCCACAGAACTGATAGTAAAAAATTTTGAAACCCACCACTGGAACTCGTTGGATAACTCAAGAGTGGGACAATGGACTCCATGCTCTGATTCACCCCAGGCTTGAGGACTACTAACTTGAGAAGTTTCAAGCCTAAAGCAAAACAAGGCTGCTGCAATGTCACTTGTCCCTCCCTTGAGTTACTACGCATTGAATTGTCCTGTGGTGAGTGAACCGGACCAAGTTGATGGGATATGTTGGCCACAGTGAGACGGCCAGGTTGAGTCAGCCGAAGTGAGTTGTCCTAGACCAGGGGTGTCAAACTCGATTTCATTGAGGGCCGCATCAGGGTTGAGTTTGACCTGGGAGGCCAGGTGGGTATGGCTGGAGTGGGCGTGGCCAGGGTGAGCATGGTCAGCTCAACGTCACTTGTGTCAGCACCTGTGGTGGCCTGGGTGGGGCTGGGGGGATCCATTCTCTACAGTGGGGGAAGGCGAGACCAGTGAGTGTCCACCCTGACACAAGCTGAGCAACGTGTTATATGCAGTACAATGCAGTGAGCCATGTGCTGATCTGTACATTGGGGAAATAAAACAGCCACTTCACAAACGCGTGCCACAACATAGGAGAACAAACTCATCTGGACTAGATTCATCAGTCCATCTGCATTTAGAAGACACAGGCCACTCTTTTGAAGACAGCAAAGTCCACATTGTGGACAAGAGGCACCTCAGGCCAGTCCTTTGCTGTTTCCAGGGTAGCCCCGCGGGCCAGATCTAAGCATTCTGTGGGCCAGATCTGGCCCCCGGGCCTTGAGTTTGACACCCCTGTCCTAGATCCTTTCCTCACTCTCTACTCATCCTCAGAAAAGCAAGTTGCTTGGCCAAGTAGAGAAATACTTTGCCATTCTGCCCAGCCTCCTTCCTCCCCATTCCTTATTATCGTGGCATGTTCATTGGACTACAGGCTGTGCTAAAGATAACTCCCCCCCCCAATATTCAGTGTATTCTGTGGGTTCCTCAGCACTCCCTTACTCTCCTGGCGTATGGAGAAGTTTGAAAATCCAGAGTTGGCAGAAGACATCTGGTGAAATCCAAATTTTTTTACTACCAGTTCTGTGGGCGTGGCTTGGTGGGCATGGTGTGGCTTGGTGGGCGTGGCAGGGGAAGGATACTGCAAAATCCCCATTCCATCCCCATTCCTGGGGGAAGGATATTGCAAAATCTCCATTCCCACCCCACTCTGGGGCCAGCCAGAGGTGGTATTTGCCGGTTCTCTGAACTGCTCAAAATTTCCGCTACCGGTTCTCCAGAACCTGTCAGAACCTGCTGGATTTCACCCCTGGTTCGGATGTCTTTAGACGGGAAACAAAATCTGGGGTTTAAAATCTGGAGTCCCCTAATGATCCCTTCTCTGAATTGTGACTCACCGGAGTTTTTGGCAGGACAAGGCTGGCACGGTTCTCCAAATCCGTGGTCCGGATTGGCACAGCAACATTCGGATTTGGTGACGGCTCCCGGGAAGGGACGAGCGCAGGTGCCCTTCTTGATGCCACCGTAACAGGTGCTGCGAACATGGGTATCCACGCAGACCCGTCCATCCACGCCGATGGCCAGTCCTCCCAGGCACTCGCAACGGAAGGAGCCCTCGGTGTTGATACACCAGCCATTCATACAAATTCCGGGAGTCTCACACTCGTCAATGTCTGAAGTAGGAAAGAGAGTGGCAGTGAGCAAATATTTTTCCCTTCCTTGGTTAGCGGGCAAAGGTGCTCAGAGCGTGGAACTGACCTCCCAGGCACGACGGTTTTAGGACACTGTTTTGGAAGTCACAATTCCAAGATCTTATCGATACTGGAATTGTGGATATTGGAATTGTGGAATATTTAATTGTCTTAAAATAAATCTTCCAGTGTTTGGAGCATTCACAACTTCTGGAGGCAAGTTGTCCCACTGATTAATTTGTTCTAACTGTCAGGAAATTTCTCCTTAGCAACCTAGAACTAAGGAGAAATTTCCCAACAGTTAGAACAATTAATCAGTGAAATGACTTACCTCCAGAAGTTGTGAATGCTCCAACACTGGAAGATTTTAAGAAGAGATTAGATAACCATCTGTTTGAAGTGGTGTATGGTTTCCTGCCTAAGCAGGGGGTTGGACTAGAAGACCTCCAAGGTCCCTCCCAACTCTGTTATTCTATTCTATTCTATTCTATTCTATTCTATTCTATTCTATTCTATTCTATTCTATTCTATTCTATTCTATTCCATTCCATTCCATTCCTTAATTCTATTCTATTCTATTCTATTCATTCTATTCTATTCTATTCTATTCTATTCTATTCTATTCTATTCTATTCTATTCTATTCTATTCTATTCTATTCCATTCCATTCCTTTCCTTTCCTTTCCTTTCCTTTCCTTTCCTTTCCTTTGTGGCAAATACAGAAATACAGATTTAGAACAGAATAGAATAACAGAGGTGGAAGGGACCTTGGAGGTCTTCTAGTCCAATCCCCTGCTTGGGCAGGAATCCCTATCCCATTTCAGACAGATGGTTGTCCAGTCTCTTCTTAAAAACTCTGGATGACTCCAGAGCTTCAACGGGTACAAAATGCATCAACTCACTCACCAGCCGTGAGGAGCAAATCTAGCCCTGGAGCCCCATGGGGTAATGAGCCAAGCCAAGCAATCTCCAAGAGAGGAGGTAGGTGGGTTTCTACTGAGAATTTCCACCCTGTCTTAAGCAAGGCTGAAGCCTTTGTTGTCCCCTGGGATGTAGGATGTCCTCAACTCTTGGCCTTCAAGAGGTGGCTGAGGAACTTTTCTGCTGAGCTTTGGGAGGCTGCTGGCGGAAAGGCCTCCTTCTGCTAATTAGTTTTTGGCAACGGTTTTGCACTTTGATTTTTTTCCCCCCCTCTCTCTTTCAATAACCAGGATTCTTTGAAGTGTATGCCGTGCTTTTCAACCTTGGCAACTTTAAAACACGTGCAACAAAATCCCAGAATTCCCCAGCCAGCAATGCTTAAAGTTGCCAAGATTGGGAAACACGGGTGTATGCAGATTTCTACAAATCAAATACACGTTTTTACAAATCAAATAAACATTTCTACAAATTTCTACAAATCAAATAAAACAATAAAGGAAAGATTTTCTTTCCTGTCACGTTGACTGACTCTCCTTTGGCTCCCGTATTCTGCAGCAATGTATCTGCCTCACCTCTTGCATGGCAGTTTCATTTGCCGTAATTCCAGGGGAATTACTTATTTCCCTTTATTATGAAAGAAGGAAGAAAAAAAGAAAGCAAAGAGGAAAGAAGAGAAAGAAAGAAAGAACAAAAGGAAGGAAGGAAGAAAAAAGAAAGAAAGAGGAAAGAAGAGAAGAAAGAAAGGATGGAAGGAAGGATGGAAGGAAGGAAAGAAAGAAAAAGAAAGAGGAAAGAAGTGAAGAAAGAAAGTACAGAAGCAAGGAAAAAAGAAAAGAAAGAAGAGAAGAAAGAAAGAATGGAATGAAGTAAAGGAAAAAGAAAGAAAGAGAAAAAAGAGAAGCAGAAAGAACGAAAGGAAGGATGGAAGGAAAGAAAGAAAAAGAAAGTGGAAAGAAGAGAAGAAAGGAAAGGAAGAAAAAAGCAAGAGGAAAGAAGAGAAGAAAGAAAGAACAAAAGGAAGGAAGGAAGAAAAAAGAAAGAAAGAGGAAAGAAGAAGAAAGAAAGAATGGAAGGAAGGAAGGATGGAAGGAAGGAAAGAAAGAAAGAAAAAGAAAGAGGAAAGAAGAGAAGAAAGAAAGAACAGAAGGAAGGAAAGAAAAAAGGAAGGAAAGAAGAGAAGAAAGAATGGAATGAAGTATAGGAAAAAGAAAGAAAGAGAAGACAGAAAGAACGAAAGGAAGGATGGAAGGAAAGAAAGAAAAAGCAAGAGGAAAGAAGAGAAGAAAGAAAGGAAGAAAAAAGCAAGAGGAAAGAAGAGAAGAAAGAAAGAACAAAAGGAGGGAAGGAAGGAAGAGGAAAGAAGAGAAAGGAAGAGGTAAGAAGTGAAAGAAACAAAGAAAGAAAGAGGTAAGAAAAGAAACAAAGAAAGAGAAAAGAAGAGAAAGAAAGAAAAAGAAAGAGGAAAGAAGAGAAAGAAAGAAAAGAAAGAGAAAGAAAGAAAGAAAGAAAGAAAGAAAAGAAAGAAAGAAAGAAAGAAAGAAAGAACCCCAGGATTTCATAAGTCCAAACCAAACAGACCAGAATCCGGCCATTTCCCCCACTGCTTTCCCAGCTCCATTCTTCCCGGGAGCCCCTCCCTTCCTCCTCCCCCCCCCAGCACCCACCAACGCAGTACCGCCCGTTGGGGGCCAGCACAAAGCCCAGCTTGCAAATGCACTTGAAGCTCCCGTCCTCATTGATGCACATTCCGTTCAGGCACATGTTGGTGGTGGCACATTCGTCGTGATCTGTGGAGCAGAGGGCGAGAAAACTGTCAAAGGGGGAAGTCAGAGATACAGGCGGCTGGCAAGCTCCGACCTTGCGACACGGAGAACAGGACTTTATGGCTTTGGCACTACCAGGTCTGGCTGTGGTTTTCTTGGCACCTTATCAGAGGACATCAGGCGGTCCGGTTCTCTCCTGGCAACACTTGACCCTGGCTGATTTGATGCCAGCTTAAATAAACTTTTGTTACTTTATTGTTTTCTTCTTGGTTTCTGTGCTTGCTTGGTAAAGAGCACCTGTGCCCAAAACAATAGTGTAGAATAATTTCAACTCAACAAAGTACAGAGGGATCCTTCCTTCCTTCCTTCCTTCCTTCCTTCCTTCCTTCCTTCCTTCCTTCCTTCCTTCCTTCCTTCTTCCCTCCCTCCCTCCCTTCTTCCATTCTCAGTCCTTCCTCCCTCCCTCTAATTATCTCCTTCCTTCCTTCCACTCTCCCTCTTTCTCTATTTCTTCCTCCTTTCCCTCCTTGTCTTCCCTTCCTTCCTCTTTCTCCATTTCCTGCTTTTCGCCTTTCCTTCCTTCTCTTTCCTTCCTTCCTCTCTCCATTTTGGAGGCGGTTGGAGCCGAGGGACCAGCATGCTAATTGTGCCACTATGGCAACAAATTATGCCACCATGGCTCCTTCCTTCCTTCCTTCCTTCCTTCCTTCCTTCCTTCCTTCCTTCCTTCCTTCCTTTCTTCCTCCTTCCCTCCCTCCCTCCCTCCCTTCCTCCCTCCCTTCTCCCATTCTCAGTCCTTCCTCCCTCCCTCCCTCTAATTCTCTCCTTCCTTCATTCCTTCCACTCTCCCTCTTTCTCTATTTCCTCCTCCTTTCCCTCCTTATCTTTCCTTCCTTCCTCTTTCTCCATTTCTTCCCTCCCTCCCTTCACCTCATTCTCCATTTCCTGCCTTTCTCCTTTCTTTCTTTCTTCTTTCCCACCTTCTCTTCCTTCCTCTTTCTCCATTTCCTCCCTCCCTTCACTTCATTCTCCATTTTCTTTCTTTCTTTCTTTCTTTCTTTCTTTCTTTCTTTCTTTCTTTTTCTTTCTTTCTTTCTTCTTCTCTTCTTTCTTTCTTCTTTCTCCTTCCTTTCTCCTCTTCCTTCCTTTCTCCATTTCCTCCTTCCTTCACCTCATTCTCCATTTCCTGCCTTTCTCCTTTCTTTGTTTCTCATTTCCCTCCTTCTCTTCCTTCCTCTTTCTCCATTTCCTCCCTCCCTTCACCTCATTCTCCATTTCCTGCTTTTTTTCTTTCTTTTTCTCTTCTTTCTTCTTTCTTTCCTTCTTTCTTTCTTCTTTCTTTCTTTCTTTCTTTCTTTCTTCTTTCTTTCTTCTTTCTCCTTTCCTTCCTTCTCTTCCTTCCTTTCTCCATTTCCTCCCTCCCTCCCTTCACCTCATTCTCCATTTCCTGCTTTCTCCTTCCTTCCTTCCTTCCTTCCTTCCTTCCTTCCTTCCTTCCTTCCTTGCTTCCTTCCTTCCTTCCTTCCTTCCTCTTTCTCCATTTCCTTCCTTCTTCTTTCCATTTCCTCCCACCCTCCTTTCATATCCTCCATTTCCTGCCTCTCTTTTCTTTCATTTCCTCCCTCCCTCTCTTCTTTCCTTCTTTCCGTTTTCTTCCTTCCTTCCTGGTTCCATCTGCAGAAGCTCCTGACGGGCATAGAAGAACGGAGAAGAGGTGGCACAGGAACCCTGCAGGACTTAATCTCAGGGCGAGGATCAAGCCGTGTGCAAGAGGTCAAGAGACTGAGTCGGCCCGAGGAGCACTGGAGATCCACCAATCGTGCTTTGTTCTACGGATCTCGAAAGAGACATCCGGAGGAAAGTTTCATCAGTCTGGAGACTCGAGACTGACCGAAGAGCATCCTTTAGCACAAGCCTTTAGCACAAATAACACCAGGGTCATGTTTTGTATTGTCATGTTTTGCTGCATTATCCCAGGGGTCACCCGTGCTCAGACATGCTCCTGCAAACACATCAGATGCAGGAGGGGCGGCCCTGCGGTCTTCACCCCTGGGGAGAGCAGGGAGGGTCTCAGGGTAGAGCTTTAGCAGGGGTGACATCAGTCACTTTCCTTCACCGGGGAGGCTGCAATGCCAAATAAAAGCAGAACTGGAGGCCCGTTGGAGCCGAGGGATCAGCATGGTAATTCATATGCAAATGAGCCCTTGGAGCGGGGGGGGGCATCGAGCGATGGGCGTCCTTGTCATTATCCTGATTAAATGTCAGGGAGCAATGAGCCACCTTTTCAGTTTTGCAGAATGCTTTTCAGTTTGGCTTAAAAGGGGGTGTGGGGAAATCTGCTCAAAAAAAAAAGCCAAAATGACATGCATGATTATTTTTTAATGGACAATAGCACTTATAGCAATAGCACTTAGACTTATATACCGCTTCACAGTGCTTTCCAGCCCTCTCTAAGCGGTTTAAGAGTCAGCCTCTTGCCCCTTCCTTCCTTCCTTCCTTCCTTCCTTCCTTCCTTCCTTCCTTCCTTCCTTCCTTCCTTCTTTCCTTCCCACTTACCTCTTAGACTTATATACCACTTCACAGTGTTCTACAGCCCTCTCTAAGCAGTTTATAGAGTCAGCCTCTTGCCCCCAACCATCTGGGTCCTCATTTTACCATCCTTAAAAGAATGGAAGGCTGAGTCAACCTTGAGCTGGTCAGGATCGAACTGCTGACAGTGAGCAATGAGTTATCCTGCAATGCTGCATTCTAACCACTGTGCCACCATGGCTCCTTCCTTTCCTTCCTTCCTCCTTCCTCCTTCCTTCCTTCCTTCCTTCCTTCTTCTTCCTTCCTTTCCTTCCTTCCTTTCCTCCCTCCCTCCCTCCCTCCCTCCCTCCCTCTTTCCTTTGCAATAGTCCTTAGACTGATATACCGCTTCACAGTGCTTTACAGCACTAAGTGGCTTACAGAGTCAGCCTCTTGCCCCCCAACAATCTGGGCCCTCATTTTACTGACCTTGGAAGGATGGAAGGCTGACTCAGCCTTGAGCCTGGTAAGATTAAATCTGCCAAATTGCAGGCAGCCAGCAGCCAGCAGAAGTAGCCTGCAGTACCGCATTCTAACCACTGCGCCACCGCCACAGATAAACCAGAACACTCAGATAAGCAGGGATTAATACCAGACAAACAATCCAGCAAAAAACAATATCTTAATCAAGGAACGACCCAGCAGAGAAATAATCAAGCCAATGAGCCTGCAGTACTGCATTCTAACCACTGCGCCACCACGGCTCTTCACAATGCACCGTTGCGGCCACCATCTTGACTTTTTTGACCACACCCTGCAGTTTAATACAGCTTATGGCCAATTAGAGTCGTGATTCTCAACCGAAGCCACTTTAAGATGTGTGGACTTCAACTCCCAGAATTCTTCAGGGTGGGGAATTCTGGGAATTGAAGTTCACGCACCTTTAAATGGACGACGTTCAGAAATGCTGAATTAAAAGGAAACCACTGGTCCGAGTTACCCTGGACAGGAATCAAAACTAGTTTAGCCAATAGGGGAGCAGCCCAAAGACACAATGGGGGTGCCCATGACCCAGAAGTGGGCGTCGGCCATGACATGATGATGTCACTCAAATACAGGAAAGAGCCAGGACTTCATTGGGTTGGGGTGGGCGGACAGTTTGGTGCGTAAAGCTGAAATAAATTTGATGTTTCTTTTCTGGAGCATCCGTACACGAGGGGGGGAATTCAAGATCTCGGTGCATGCAAAATGTGCATAAAATGGCACTTCTGTTTTTGGAGCATTTGATACTCACATTTTGCCCAGAAATGGTGCAGAAGGTGTGAAAGGAAGGTGGAAGGCCGAGTAAATTCGCCTACTGCCCCCTCACCCCTGAACTTCCAGCCCTTTCTTACCTGCACAGTTCTTCCCATCCGGTGTGATTTCAAAGCCAGCATTGCAGATGCATTGGAAGCTCCCGTCGGTGTTTACACAGCGTCCATTCCTACACATCACACCGTTCATGATGCATTCATCGATATCTAAGAGAGGAGCCACACGGTGACTACAGGGCCTGGAATCATGTATGTCCACCAAGTACCAAGTTCTTTGCATAAAAAAACACCGCTTGGGGGGACCCCGAAAGCCCTACTAAGCAGGTATATACAAAAGTATGAAGGCTGTTGCTTAACGCATTGTAAGCCGCCCTGAGTCTCCGGAGGAGGGCAGCATATAAATCGAACCAATAAATAAATAGATAAATAAATAAATATTTTTGTTTCTCATAAACACATTTATATATACAGTCATTTATCCATCGTTTTTCATTCATCTTATCTTTTAACTTTCATTTTTCATTTTTACTTTTTAGGGGCTGCTCTTTTACCATTTACCTTTATCATAACCTTCTCCCCTTCCTTCCTCTTTCTCCTCCTACTTTCTTAGTTCTTTCTTTCTTTCTTTCTTTCTTTCTTTCTTTCTTTCTTTCTTTC